GTTTTTACTTTTTGTTTCACGTGAATCAATTCTTTCGATAAAGGACTAATGGTAACATTAAAAATTAAAGAGGCACATGTTCTATTAAATAGTAACAACTTGTCCAAATATTTTTTACTTAGATATATATTTTATTTTATATTACATATTTCATTTTAAGAGTATGATACAATTTTAAAAAATAAATTTACACTTCTCATGTCATTTTTAGTGAGAAGATTTATTATTATATAATAATTATACCATATTTAAAGCCGTTTGTTTTCGTAAATTTTTATACGTTCTTCGTATTAAATTCCTTAAGAGATGGATAACTATCGAATGTACCAACAAAATCTCTTTTTTTAAGTATTGGGTAAGTAAATTTTAAAATATATTTTCAAAAATATTTAAATATAATTTTAGCAAAATATTATAAAAGTGAAATGAGTTTGCTATTTTTAGAGAAATGTTTTGTTAACATTTTGACCAACCAAATTAAGATGAAATTCGAAGATACTCGTGCGAGTCTGATCCAAACAAATAATATTAAATCATGTTAAAGATATTTTAAAACTATTTTAGCCAAACAAAGTGATATAGAGATGAAATATTATCTATTAACTAATTATTACTATTACTTATCAAAATTATAAAAAGTATATGTAAATGACCTTGTATATATGTGCTTATTGATTCCATTCTTCTTTTGAAAAATACTACAAAATTCTTTATAGTATAGTTATTGTTGATAATTTTGGGCCCAAAAAATGTTAAAAGGCTATGCACATGAGTCAATGACTAATAAGTGGATATTATCTCTATGGTCTTAAAATTTGTTCATTGGTCTTGGGCTTTTAGTACAAATAATTCGATATTTGATAATTATATTGAAATATAATTATTTCTAGACGATATTTTAAAAGATCAAATTTAAAATATCTAATTGAAAGGAGAATAAATCTCAAACATTAGATAACATGAATTTATTACTATCAGAAAAATATTTCTCATCTAATTAACTAATTTTACTATATATATATATATATATATATATATATATATATATATAAATGAACTTAATTTGGACCACTATAGAACCAAGAGGATAAGATTGAAATATATATGTGGTCAGGGAATTTCAAGAAAATCATCAAAAAGAAAGTAGTACTTGTCACTTTAATTTGTTCTACTTTTTTTTTAAAAAAAAAGTTAATTCCTTTGTGTGAAGTACATTTATGCTTTATTTGTTGAGTTTTAATTTGATACGAACAATAATAAAGTTATAATTTTATCAAGAAAGTTTAAGATATAAAGAAATAAATACATAAAGAAATTAAAGAGTGTACAACATCAACTGTATATAAAGTATATATACATGAAAAATAATTTTAACCAAATATAAATTGCGTAATTTTCGTTGAAAGGAGGTTTGGATGAACTTTCTTGATTCTATCTAGCCCCCGCTCCTAAACATTAAATTTAAAAAAATACTTAATTAAGATTTTGAATTTTGAGATCTTAAACTAAATATATATAAAATTTATCAAAATATATATCTTTTATTTTGTGATATTAAATATATTATGTGAAATGAAAAATAATATATTATTTTTCAAATAAACTTTAAAAATATGACAAATAAACTAAAAAGGGAATTATGATTTACCAAACTCAATATTGTTAATTGTGACTTTATAGTTAAAGCAACTTTATTTTAAAAGTAAAATCTCTATCACACTATTATAAGTCATTTTCTCTCTTTTAAGAGAAGTGATATGATTTCTAGCATTAGATTATTTGATGCACTAAACAATTTTTACAACTTCTTTTTTTTGGTAATCACAATTTTGCATACTTACTATTTCAAAAAAAAAAAACATTACAAAATAAATTATTTTTCATGAAAATTAATTTCATTTTCTTTATGCTACATAAATTTAAAGGAAAGGAAATAGCTTTTAAGGAAATAATCTTCTATGATTATGTTAACGAATAAAAATATATTTAAACTATTTTAGATCTGAACTATTATGCGAGTAAGTATTTAATTTGAACTATGACCAAATATTTATCAAAGCGCACAAGAATTATTAGTTGTTCACCCTTGTTACCTGAATAATACTAATCTTTTCCATTAGAAAAAAGTGGACAAATTAACACTTTCGATTTTTTTTTAAAAAGAACTCACACGCATGATTGTTCAAATATAAAATTCAACAAATCGATATATTTTACATATAATCTTTTTAGATTTCTTATACATAAAATAAAAACTTTTGTTAAAAAAATTTAAAAAAAATTAAAAATAATTTATGAAATACTATAATAGTTAATTCATGGTATGTTCATTCTTGCATTTTCTTGCCTTTTTTGTGTCTACAAAATAAAAGATACTTCTTATGTTATTATCCATATATACCCAACCCAACCATTATCCATTTTAGTTATTGTGGAGTGGCTTTTTGTGTTATTGGAGATAGACTAGGACTTAGCAAGTTGTCAATTTGCATGCCTATTAATTATTATTTTTATCATGATATTAGAATCGACTTTTTTTAATTTATTATTGAATTTTACTTAAATTAATATTATTTTAATATATTTATTCATATGTGTGTCAGGGACAAGTAAAAATAAACAGAATTAGGGTCCGTTTGGATGGGCTTAATAAAAGCAGCTTTAAAAAAGTATTTTTAAAAGTGCTGAAACTTATTTTTAAAATAAACAGTTATACGTTTGGATAAAAGTGCTGAAGTTGTTATGTCAAACGTGAAAAGGGAAAAATGGAAGAAAGAAATGTTAGGGTTATATGGGTAATTTGGAGATTGTATAAAAATATTAAGCACAAAAAGATAAAAATGTGATCAACTTAAAACAGCTTATAAGCTAAAAAAAAAAGCACCTCTACCCCAGCTTTTAACTTTTGGCTTAAAATAAGTTTTTTTTAAACTTAAAATAAGCTGTTTTGAGTATTGCCAAACAGCTAAATAAGTCAAAAACCAACTTTTAAGCCAGTTTGACCAGCTTTTAAGCTGAGCCAAACAGGCCCTTAGTAATATTTCATATTCAGTAATATCACAAAAATTGAGGCAAAAGAATTTATTGTAATATAACATATAGTTTAAGACGAAAGCAGACACATCTCTATTAACGTGCTCACTTCAACAAGCATATTTTTTTTGATTTTTTTTTTTTATAGAAAAAACATGCTTTTATGATTTTACTTTAATAAGCATAGAATTTCTTCAAAATTATTGAACCTCTTTTATTTATGTCATTTAGTTTTAAATTCAGTATATTTTAGTTATGTGACTTTATTACTCTGAAAGCAGTAATATTTGTAACTATTTTGAATAAAAAATCAACAATCGATAAAGAAAAATACTTCAATAAAACTTTTCAAATTAAAATTTTATTTTAGATAAAATATTATAAATCATTTAATCAGTATCACTTAGAATTAAATAATATTCATCATATATTTATATTATACATATAAGGTCGGGTTAATATCATTCAAGTAACATCATTTGAAAATAAACTTATGAATAAATATTGAATCTGTACACAACACAAGATTTTCGTAACTAATATTTCCTTCATTCTTGTTTAGTTGTTATTATTTTCCATTTTAAATTTTATATTCCTTAAAAAACTAAATTACTCTTATTCAGTGTTTTCTTGATGTCGAATTTTTAATAATTAAATATGAATTAATTTATTTTACTTGATTAATTTAACTTTTAACTTTCAATGTTTAAATAGAAAGAATATCGTCATTTATATATTATTTTGTATAATAAATAAATATTAATTAATATTTATTTTTTATTAAAGAAGGCATATAATATTTAAATAGAGACGGAGGGAATATTAGATCTAGAAAATCTAACTTACCAGTTACATTGATTGATTGTTTCACTTTTTATTTCAACAATCAGTAACTATAATTGAAAATTATAAACTTTATTTCACGCCCACGTGCAATTAATGTAAAATTTAATTACATTTAAAATTACTGTAATTACAGGTGGCAGCAATAATAACAATATATAAATCTTATTGTAGTCCCATAAAATTTAAAACTGTTCTGTAGTTATATTTTAAAATGTGCATCAAAATATAGAGATATTATTTTGATAGATGTTAGTTTTTTTTAAAAAAAAACAAAGTGGTTCTCAAAAATAAAATAAAATAGCAAAAAGTAAAAGAAAATTAATAGACACTAACAATTAGTAACAAAGACTAAGATAACAACACAAAAGTAAAATTTTAAAAAATATTTTAGTTTGAATCGATATAAAATTAAAATAAAATAAAATAAAATAAAATTTTGTAATTTTAAACTAAAGTTATATTAAATATATCGAAATATACTTAAGTGTGTGACCTTAAATATGACAATGTCGGTTCAACTACGTAAAAAAAATGATATATATCTTTAGGTGGTAAAAGTAACTACAACCTTGCTCTGCTAAGTGACATAACTAAAGTTCTCAAACTCTTAATAAAAAATTGAGAAAAGTATTGAAAACATCTTAATATTTGTCTGTAATTTAAATATATATTTTACTCATGTTATAAAAATCGATAGTGTACGTAAATGTTAGTCAACTAAATGAGTGTTTTTAAGACTATCAACTGTCTGAAAACAAAACAACTACTTCCTATCGAATTTAAAGGTGTTTTTCATACTTCTTTTTTTATCTAAAAATTATGTCTCGACAAGTTGAAATTGCGTCATTAGCCGCTACTAGTGGCATTCCCCTGTAATTATACCCCAACTCCAAGCCCTTATATTCAGATCTGTCACCAATTTCACCAACCTCATTCAATGTCCACGTGTCAGCATCCTATTCGTCTGTTTTCTCTATAAAATCACCTCACGATATCTATCAAGTCTCTCACTTTCTCTCTCTAGCTATTTATAGGGAGAGTAGGTTTTTACTTTCTCTCTCTAAAAATTCTCAGATCTATATATATATACAGAATAGTTACAGAAAGTGTTTGTGTTTGTGTTGCGGTGGTTTCTCATTCGCTTGGTGCAGGTCGGGACCTACCTCGCCGGCAACAATGGCGGTAGCTGACGGCGACGGCAGCGTACCGGTAAAAAAGAATCTTATTTTTACATGTTGTTGCGTAGTTTGGGTCCCGCCTTGCATCAACTGAATAGGAGACTGCGGTGAATTTTGTTTCGACGAAATCAGATTTGTTATGGATCGATCTAATATCTAACGGTTGTTTTACATGAGGTTTGAATTTGATATTGATCTATTTGATTTGTTTTTGTTGTATTTCGATTGAATTTAGCTGGATCTAGCATTGTTAATTGCGCAGTTTGTAATTACTGTATAGATCTTAATGATGTATATCTCTATTTGTTCGTTGGATCTAAGATTTTGAAATTTCGATGCTGTTAGTGAAATAGAGAAGCTTAATTTTAATGAAAACAGTGAGATTTAGGTAATTTTTTTATTAAGCTAAAACTTTCTACTTCAGATTCCGCTTTTAGGTGCGTTAGGAGGACATAGTAGCTTAAAGATGATTTTTGATAGATGCAATCAAAAACTTGTTTAAATATTTGTTACACTGTAGTAGATCAACTTTTAGAGAAGTTTAGTGCTGTTGTTTTTGCCATAGAGATTGAATAGTGCAGACAATTTTTAAGAAGGAAGATGCAGACATAGTAGCTTAAAGATTCGATTTTTGACCAAGGCAATCAAAAACTTGTTTAAATATTTGTTACATGTAATAGATCAACTTTTAGAGAAGTTTAGTGCTGTTGTTTTTGCCATAGAGATTGAATAGTGCAGGCAATTTGTTTAAAAGGAAGATGCAGACATAGTAGCTTAATGATTCGAATTTTGATGAAGGCAATCAAAAACTTGTCATTTGTTACACGTAGTAAATCAACTTCTAGAGAAGTTTAGTGCTGTTGTTTTTGCCATAGAAATTGAGTAGTGCAGACAATTGGTTAAGAAGGAAGATGCAGACATAGTAGCTTTAAATATTTGTTACACTGTAGTAGATCAACTTTAGAGAGGTTAAGTGCTGTTGTTTTTGCCTTAGAAATTGAATAGTGCAGACAATTCATTAAGAAGGAAGAGTTTTCCGTCTTTAAAACTTTCATTTGATACTAGTTCCTATTTTTCGATGTTTGTTGCACTTCAGTGTTATATTAGGACTTAACACTGAGGTTGTATATGACAACCATTTTTCAATTGCGGGAAAGAATTTTTTTGAGGAAAGACGGTTTTCGCTGAAAGAAGTATAATGACTTCTTTGTAGGATAAAGTTCATTCCTTTTTAATCATTTGTTTCATGTGATGGGCAAACAATGTTTTCAATCTTTAAGTGTTAAGTAACTATCTTTTGAGAGAAATGTTCAATGCAAACTATCTTGTCACCTTTACCTTCCTCTGTCGATAATAACATTATTTACTTGTCCAAGAAAAAGTTTATTACCTGAGTAACACTCATGTTTCAGAAAATATTTTTCAAGGTAAATTCTTTTGACAGAGAACATTTATTTGCATATAAAGCTATGTTCCTATAAAGCTGGAAAAAATTGGGACGGAGAAGGTAGCTGTGTACTTTTTCGTTTGAAGATAATGTACTTGGCCAAGTCATCTACCTATAAAGTGATAGGTGTCGTATATAATCTACAACTTTTATGGTATTCTTTAAGTGCATGTTTTTCCTAGGTATTTGTTGATATCAAATATTAGTATAAAGAGTTTATTAACCTAGCTATGTGGAAAATTACCGCGTACTAGACTTCATTGTTACTTCATTCTAAACAAAGGAAAAACATGCAACGTGCTTTTTGCATCTTTTCTTTTTTTCGTTATTTCTATTCAATCAACTTACTTTTTTGGGAGAATTTTCTATTCTATCAACTTTGCACACTTATTTTTAGGTTTTAGATCTACTTGGAAGCTAATGGTGCGTATTTCAGTATTATGATCTCATCTCTGTAACGTTTTTGTATGTGGTGGTTGATTAATGGTTATAGTTCTCCTTAGCATCCTGTAGCCACTTTCTTTTGGCTATATAGGAAAAGAAAATTGAAAATTTCTTTGAGAGTCTGACATTATGTGTTAATTATGTAACATCGTCATTCATTGGACTAAACTTCTAAAATTTTAATCAAACTAAGCAGTTCAGTCTGGAAAGTTTTATGTTGTAGGATTTGAATTGTACAACAGTCCTGTTTTGTCCAAGAAACATGTTCAGATGTAACTCATGTGCATGTTTGGTAGATGCAGATTTTGTCGTGTTCACGTGTTTTTGAGATAATAGGCTGTATAACAAGTCATATCCAGTCCTGGTATTCTCTTGCACAAGAGCAAGAACTATATATTCTCGTAGAGTTTACTTGCTGTGGATGTTAACCAAACTTCCCCTTTATGTCTTCACAGTCAAATGTTTCACTCCCCGCCACCAGCTTTCTCTTGCATCATTTATGTTTTCACTTCTATCTGTATTGAATATGAATCTGAGGATCTGTAACATTAAGTGATAGTAGCTGTTTTCCTTGGTCCGACTTTACGACCTGAAGCAAGCATGGACTGTGTCTGGTTGAAGGTAACATTCCAAGGATACAAGGTCACTGTACTAACTTAGTTACCCTGTGACACTGATGCTACAAGTTGGACTCAAAAGCTGTAAAATGTGACCCTCGCGTTTCTCGTTGTTCCATTTTGTTCATATTTGTTAAGTAACCTTTTATCGACATATATTTAGGTCGCCTAATGCTGTGTATGATGATGTTTTTGCTGTAGATCTAGGCATCTAGCTCATATGATGATGTTTGGATCTAGTTCAGCAATATCTTTGCACTCCTCTTTTACTTTTTATTTCTTTGTGATGGCTGGAATCTGAAGTGATCATAGCTAAAATGACAGGGGATACAAGTTGTGGTGTTTTCAAATGGCATAAAATACATATATTAGACCATAAACTTGGCTTCAAATTTTAACTTTGACTTCCAATTTTCATACTGCACAAACAGAAATTTTAGCTATCCAACTTTTAAATAAATAAACACATGAATCCTACATGACACAATACACGTAAGACACCATGTAGGACAAAAAATAACATGTAGGATGACGTATAGAACATATGTTTCTAGACTTTATACAAGTTTAAGTGTCTACTTGTGCACATCCAAAATTGAAGGGCATAAATGTGATTCGGGGTTAAGTTAAAGGGCATATTTATGTATTATGCCTTTTCAAATTTGTAGATTTCAGTTTCATTGAACAACATATTCCAGAGAGAAAGATCAACTAATAAGATGTGGTTGAATAAAACAAATTTATCTGTCTCGAGGTTTCTAGTTCAAGTCTAGAGAATAAAGAATTTTTTTCATTAGAAGCTTTTCCTAAAATGGATCTTATGTGACCTGAATCAAGATTAGTCAAGTTGGTAGCTTCATAATGCTAATTTCTATCAGGTCATCAAGTGATTAGCAGACTCAAATTCATTTTTTCATCGAATGCTCTTTTACCTTAGGACTAACTTCGATCAGCCTATCTTGATTGCCTCAATAATGTAACTGTTTGCAAGATACCACTTATAGAATCTACTAGATGGAAGATGATAGAGGGTCAACTATTGTTTTGCACAAGATGATGCCTTTCACTTCGAGGTTCTTTTCTTCATAGTTGAATATAATAATAGAGGATCAACTATCGTGTTGCACAAGATGATGCCTTTCACTTTGAGGTTCCTTTCTTTGTAGTTGAATGTAATGAAATGTTTTATTTGTGTTACCTACCTAATAAAAAGTCTGTTAGGTGATCGAAATAGTTTTGGTCTGTGAAGACATTTATTCACTCACCTACTCCTTATCTTTCCTCTTGACAAATTGCGTCTGGACATAAGAAAGATACAATTTTTGCAATACTTGATTGTTGAGAAGAAAGAGCTTCCGTAAGAATCAGAAAACTATACCGACTTGTAGTCTTAGGTATATTTCTCTTTCTTAATTTCGTGATGGACTAATAATAATGAACGAAAGTAAATCTTTTAATAAACGTATCTAAGCTATTATTTAGTGTATAAGCAATTCTTTAGTGATCGTAACGTAAATATAGCGGGGACTAGTTGAAGATGATGATTTTCAAACTTACCTTTCCTCTTTGTGTAAGAGTACAATACTAGTTCAGATGTTACGAGAGAGATGGGTGACAAAAATGGACACACCACCATCTCCTAATAAAATCAAAAGGCTATAAATTTGTTATGTATTAATGTTAATTTGTTTCTCATCGTGTATTTTTATTATGAGTTAGATTTTGGTTAAATGAAATGAAGAACTATCACTTTTAATTTTACCATACAAATACATCAAATTCTTGTACAAAACCAAGAAATTTACTATGATAAAAGTCTTTTGAATAAGTTTCATTCTATCATGATTGATTAATGTGTAATTTTACTTTAATTTACACTCACTTTTAAGTTCAAATTACTTTATTTGGGGAACACGTATCAATACCCCCCCCCCCCCCCAATATTAGGCAAAAATTAGCCATAAAAATATAGTAATTAATTTAATTTGCTTAAGATTGAATGCATTATAATTTTTTTTTATCTGAATTATTACCTTCTACTGGTTAAGTATGAAAATGGATCAATCAATAATTAGAATGTGAAATTCGTGAAAATAATATATATATTAGCATTTATTTAATTAATTGTTTTTAAAAACTTATCGGATTATCAGAATATTAGAGACCAAAACTCTTGCCATCACAAAACAATGAAAAAATGTATTATAAAACATATTAGTTTCATCTTAAATCTCATCAAACCAATCCACTGAAAAAAAAAATATAATAGAAAATAAATTTTCATTGAAATATTAAAATATTTGATCCCACTCCACTTTTAATTTATTAATTTTTTAAGTTTTTATTTAGTGTCTGATATCTACGTTAAAGTATAATTTTTTTTGAATTCGTGGAGTGTAGGGCTCAGTTCTAAAGGGAGCACTCTCTACACAATGAAGGATTTATTTTATTATCCATATTTAAATTTGAAATTTTTAATTAAACGAAAGAATAATCTCATTCACTCTATCAGATCCCGTTAAATTTAATATGTCATCATCCTCTCTTCACCATAATAAATGTATTTATTGACATCCTCTCCCCCATTCCTCACACACACAAATTCCTTTCTTCTCTTTTGTCACTCTATTTTCAGCATTTCATTTACTGTTTTAATTATTATACCTCTGTTTTTTTCCACCATTTCACACTTGCAAATAAGAAAAAAAATAATATATATATATATTTTTTATATATATATTTCTAGTGAGAAAAAGCTAAATGTGGGTTCTTTTTTGAATGGTGACCATTTTGATATTCTAGAAGATTGAAGAACTCCAATTTTGATCAAATAAGAAAGAAAGAGAAAAAGGTTAGCTTTTTGTTCTAATTCTCTTTTTCATTTTATAGCTTTAAACAGATATCTCGAGCTTAATCCTGATTATGAGAAAAAATATTAACTCAGATTTGTTGAATATTTCAATATAAATACTGAACACTAAGAAAAACAAGGGAAAAAGATCATTTTGATCATGTATACGAATTTTGAACATTGAAAACTACTGATAAAAATACTTTCTTTTTAAATTGTTCTTATGCTATATGAATTTAAATTAATCAAATATCGAGACATATAGTGATTACACACAAAAAAAGCTTCATTCTTATCTAAGTTTTTTTTTGAATGAAAATGTTGTAGATGCAACAAACTCAATTTTTTAATTATTTTTAACATATGATTCTCTGTTTATTATTATTATTATTTTTCATTTCAGAAGAACAATGAAATCGGCATCATGATAAATCTGAATCGTCTGAAACAGTCCAAAACATTTTAAAACTCTTCTTTTAAAGTAGAGTTAATGGTTAAAAAAAAATACATAATCAAATTATATTTTTTCGGAGTTTTATACCTAAACTTTGTTTTAATTAAAATACAACTCGATTTTGACTTGACCTACTCGTGCTTCTTAATTCTTATTAATTGAAATAAATATTTGATAAATTCAGCAGCATCGATGAGTGTTTTAATACCAAAAAAGCATGTTAGTTTAGAGGTGTGTTTTATTATTAACACTCTTTATATTATGGTAATAAAGAAAGTTAGATTGCTTGTATAAATTTTTTTTACTTTTAGGAGGATTTTAGCCAATTATTATATGATCATATAAACCTTTTTCTTATAATGGAAAAGTGATAATTTTCTTTTTCTAAACCTTTTTTATTTACATAATGTTAACTTTAGGAGTAACAAACAAAAGTGAAAATGCATATCACACTTCTATTTAAAATGTTTTGTCAATATCATGATTTGTAATTCAGGAGGTTGATGAACTACAGGTCGATATTAATCGAGATTGATATTAAAATTTGCATATAATCTATCTTTATCGGATGAATATGATGATCGTGAGACGGACATTAGCATGTTGTGCAAGAGATAAAGAGATTAGTATTGACTTTGGTGAACAAGAGAGTAAGATTCCCCTTTTGTGTTCCTTTTATTTGTTTTTTAGTATGTCACATGCTAATTTCCCTCCTATAATTGAGGTAAATCTAAGTTTTTAATAAAAAATGAGGACTACACTTTTCCACAAGTGAATGCTAACATATGGATTAAGTTTTTACTATATATATATATAATTGAACTCCAACCACTTCATGTATCTAGATGTTTAGTGTAACTTTTTTGACTTTTGTGAACTAGACGAGTCTAGACAGAGTCAGATTCAAGATTTGAAGTTTATGAATTTTTATAGCGATTTAAACTCAAATATATATAGATTTTTATTACTTGTAACAAACTTTCTAGATCCGCTCCTAAATCTAGATTTGGATATTTATACGTTAGTTATTCTACAACGACTATTACTATGTCTCTAATTGTTTATATCACTTCATTTAAACCGTCTCTTATCAATAATATTAAAAATAATGGGATACTAGTTATATGTGAATGCCTATTAAAGTCAAGTGTATTCCTTGAGCTGAGATAAGAATAAAATTTGTGTAAGCTCGACTTTAATCTTTTCATCTTTTACCTGTGAGACTATATTGAATATGGAGTTGTTATTTGTTAAAGTCAAGAAACTTAACAACAAAGTGTGAACATCAATTTCTTGAAGTTACGAGAGAAAAGAAAGATTGTATTATTCATAGTTTATTTATAATTCAAGAATCTTTTGTGGGACCCTTAAGTTGTTAGGTAGAGCATGTTTTGAACTTATATGTGTAACATGTGAGGGACAAAAACTTTCCATTTATTAATGTGAAAATAGATATATAGATGGCATTGTAGTGATAGTAATTTGTCATACCTTTGGGAGTTTTCTTGGTTTTTTATAGTCATAATACATGTATACTGAATTCTAAATTTTGATTCATTTTTTAACTTTGATTTTCAATTTTCATAATGCATAAACAAACAGTTTAACTATTCAACTTTTAAATAAATAAACACATGAGTCATACATGACAAAATACACGTAGGATACCACGTAGGACAAAAAATGACATGTAAGATGACATTTAGGACATGTGTGTCCATTTATTCAACTTTATACATGTTTAAGTGTCTATATTTATGTATATCTAAAATTAAAGGATATACATGTGATTTAAAACCAAGTTAAAAGGCATATTTATGTATTATGTTTTTTTTTTATATATTGTCTAGTATGTAAAATGTGGACCTAACTCTCATTTCATGAAGCACATAAGTGACTATGGGGACAAAATAGTCATTGTCTATTGGTATCAAAATTTCTACTTTTGGGATTCTTTTTTCAGTAGGCTCTATTAATGGTACCCTATTTGTTTATATTATAGAACCAATGTCGCTAAAAGCTTTAGGAACATATACAAAGAGTGACAATTACCGCTTTAAATACATATTTAGCAGCAACTAAGAATTAAATGCCGCTAATGATCATTTTTTTTGTAGTGTGTTCTTCAAGCAAATATGAGTTGATATGGTTTTTGAAATGAAAAATGAAAGTAACCTGCAGCTAACATATGGTTTTCTTCTGTTATACTACTGAAATGGTAAATGTAGTACAACTCGGGATCTATCGTAGGTTCATTCTACGAGTTAAATATCCCTTCGGGAACAAAGTCTTGTATTTAAGTGAAGAAGGGTAGATAGACGCGACCATAATCTTCACGGAGAAGTCATTGAACTTGTATCTGTTTTCTTCGCAACTGATATACCTCGAGTTGTTTAGTATAGTATTCTGTTTTTGGGGCATCTTGTAACCAACACAAGGAACCATTATATTGTTATCTTTCGTACGTGATCTAAAGCCCTGTATCTAACTAAATCGATGAATGGTACTTCAGGAATTACAACGTATGATGGCCTCGAGAGCTGCATACTGAACAGTCAGGCTTATGAGTATGAAAAAGCCAATAGCAGAGTTGATGTTGGTGTTGCAGATTCTTTATATGATGACGACTCGAGTAGCTCTTCTAGCAATAATGCTTTTGGATCATATTCATCTCAGTGTACGACAAGCCCTCAACATCTTTATGTGAACGAAAAATCAGGTTCAACACAACTTTCGGATGTGGAAATGATGAAAGAGAGGTTTGCAAAGTTGTTGCTCGGGGAGGATGTGACCGGAGGAAGCAAGGGAGTTTCCACTGCATTAGCATTGTCCAATGCCATTACATATCTTGCAGGTACTTAATTGTTACTTCTTTATCGATCAATACGTATCTAAATTCCAGTTTTACATCTGTTAACGGTTTAGTCTTCAATCCTCTCTGATACTTGAGGTTCTTGTAATAGTATTTTCGTTCTGTCTAATGCTACTACTACTTGATTTAAAGCGTCTGTGTTCGGAGAGCTGTGGAAATTGGAGCCACTTGCAGAGGAACGAAAGATCAAATGGAGAACGGAAATGGATTTGTTACTCTCACCTACCAATCATATGATTGAGTTGGTTCCTGCTAGACAAAGTGGTTCTAATGGCCAGGGATTGGAGGTAATAACTCATTCGTTTTATCCGTGTTTTGAAATGACAGACTCACATAAATAGAACGACATGTTTAGGTATAGTTGTTGTTGTTATACAAAACGACATATTAAGTTCCACTTCTCATTTGATGAGCAGATAATGACACCAAAAGTTCGCGCAGACATCCATATGAATCTTCCAGCCCTTCGGAAATTGGACTCGATGCTTCTTGTAGGTGGTCTCTTAAAATCCTTTTAACTATGCATCAACTTGGACCACATTCTTAAAGTTCTTTTCTCGACTTGATAGGAAACGCTTGATTCAATGGTTAGTACTGAGTTTTGGTACACGGAAGTGAGTTCCCGAGCTGAAGGAAAGAACACTAAGTGGTGTCTTCCTTCACCTAAGGTACCCGTAGCTGGACTATCTGAAGTCGAAAGAAAGAAATTGGTGAATCAAGGAAAATTGACGAATCAAATATTGAAGGCAGCGAAAGCTATCAATGAAAATGTCTTGGCTGAAATGCCTGTTCCAACAGTTATCAAAGATGCACTTCGAAAGGCAAGAGAATTCTCATTTTCACTATTGAGTTTACGTTCTATGTACTGACATCGTAAGAAAGTTCTAATCTTTGTTGAAATTGCTCAAGTCGATCCATTCATTCCTGCAGTCTAGCAGGACAAGCCTCGGGGACGACCTTTATAGGATCTTGACAGCAGAATCAACTTCTGCTGAGGAAATGTTGATTTCATTGAACTTGAAATCTGAAAACAGCGCGGTTGAAGTTGTTAACAGGTTAGAAGGATCGATTCTTGCTTGGAAAGAGAGAATAACTGATCAAGCTAGCGGAAAATCTCCAGCTCGAAGATCTTGGTCTTTCGTAAGAGATCCAATATCCGAGTTAGACAAAGTGGAGTTCTTATTGAACAAAGCAGAATCTCTTGTACAACAGCTCAAATTTGAGTATCCTAACCTTCCGCAGACGTTCCTCAATGTCACAAAAATCCAGTATGGCACGGTGAGACAATCGTATCCACTGGTAAATTTTGTTCAACGCAACTAATATAGGATGACTCTACTAGTGAAATTCATCAAATGCAACTACGTTCACTGAAAAGGCACATTTCTGCTTTTGTTATAACGATGTCATTGCAGACGTGATATAATTGTCTTGTCCTTAACTCGCGTTAAGCTTATATGCTATGATGATGTACACGAACGTGCTGTTAAAATGCTCAATAAGACTGCGATTAATCCTTGTTCTTTTTCTGTATCATTGCAGGACATTGGACATTCAATTCTGGAAGCATACTCTCGAGTTCTTTTAAACTTAGCACACAACATTCTTACACGGATAGGAGAAGTTTTGCAAGTAGATTTCTCGAGCAACGTCAACTCACCTGCAGCTACTGTCTACTCGAGTCCTATATCGAGTGATGAAACACTCGTTTATCGATCAGATGAGCAGAGCTGATAGACATTTTAGAGACTCCTATGAAGATTGATTGTAGCAGCATGTCTACTGCAGATTCACCTCAACAGAGTTTTTGTGATATATAAGTATATAAGTTAATTAAGAGATAAAATGTGTGTATGGAAAAAACATGTCTTTGCATTAAAACTTCAGATACCACATATTTAAATTTATTTCGATAGATTTGCGAAAAATTAACCGGGATACTTACATAAATGTGCTATAATAAAAAAAACATTTACCATTTATAGCAATGAAATTTTTTTTTCACTTCATTGCTTTTAATTCATTGATAATACAATGATAATATATATTACAAAGAACAATTTATTATTCACATATAATACAAGTTTTTAATGGTGGATAATACATTTATCACACATTTTAATACACTTATAATACAATGTGACCATTTTTTACCAAACAAACACAATATATTTCAAAAACAATTGTAATTCAAATATATTACATAATTAATTCACTTTTAATACATATTACAGATTTATCACAGTATTGCTATAAATGGTAATAAACAAAAAGTATCGCTAAAATCAGTAATTATTTTTTAAAATGTATTAAATTATGTAATTTTTCCATTCCAAAATAAAAAATCTAAAAATTCACATATCATTACTTATATGACCATCTTTTTGTTATTTTGTAACTTATAACCCTATTTTTTTTTATCACATTCTAAAAATTCCTTTTAACAAGACGGAATTTTATAAGAAAAAACATTAGACCACGATCTATATTTTAAAAGGGAAAAGAACAGATACACTTTCGAATTATCGTAGATGATATGCAAATATCCTTCGTCATACTTTTACGATCTTGGTTCCCTTGCTATCCAATAACGAGAGCATAATCTTACCCACCGATTCGACATTTATCGACGGATAAGGCTGTACCACGTGTCCATATATAGTATTCCGTTAGAGTGAAGGGCATATACGCGCTGATTTATGGAGGACACGTACACCAATGACTCAAAATTATGACGGAGGATATTTATATATGAGCAATCGATAACGTATATATTGCACCAATTTTTAAAAATTGTGACAAAATTTAAATAGTATCCTTAAAAGTGAACATTTGTGTAAATCTTTGCTTATTATTTGGGCCAAACCCGAATAAGTATAAACTTTCACAAAACCCTAATAAGAAATCTTAACATATATTTGCCGCATTTAGGTCACAGTTACATTCTCTCTTGCCCTCCCGCCGATCAGAGCCATTCTCTTCAACAATTTCAAGGTAAATCTCCATTGAAAGTACTATTTTTCTTCTAATTATGTGGATTTTTATCAGTTTTTATACACATTTGGTGCGATTTCCTTTTTTTGAAGTTTTTTTTTATGGTGTTTTGTTGTATTTGAAGATGTAGTAGTGTAATCGGGTTCTAGTTGTGGAAACAGGTTTTTGTAGAAATGCAGGGGTTAAGCTGTGTAGAATAGATCGTTTATGGCCCAACTACTGTGTATAGCGGGAGCTTAGTGTATCGGGCTGTTGTTTTTTTTTTGGTTATGTTTTGGAGATCTGAATTAAGGAAGTGTTGTGTGTGTATTTAAGTTGTTAAGTGTTTTGAAGCCTAAAGGAAGGTTTTTTTTTTGCTGTGTTTGAAATGTTAGCAGCTGAAGGATTAGTTTAGTTGTAGTTTGGTGTATGTATTAGAGTTTTGAATGCTGAAGAATATAAAATAGTGGAAGAGTATTGAATGAACTAGTCAGTAGTTACTAATGTTGCCTTTATGTATGCGTATTCTGATTAATGAAGCTGGGATATACTGTAGGAATAGGGAGAAGTGAAGTGAAGGGTCTGTTACTTTTGCCTAGATATAGAGTGAAAGTTGATTCCTACTCTTGCAGTTGAGCTGAAGTGTGTGTGTGTTTGTTGTTGAGTATTCTAAAGCGTGATAGGTTTTTTTGAAACGTTAGCAGCCACTAAAAGATTACTTTAGTTTTAGGTAAAGCATTCGAGTTTTGAATGCTGAAAAGATTTAGAAAAAACTAGAAGAGTATAGGAAGAACTAGTCATTATCGTTGCTTTTATGCATGTGTATTCTGATCTCTATGAAGTTGGGATATTTTGGTGGAATAGGGAAACGTGAAATGAAGGGGAGTTAAAGTAAACAAAATGAGTCTGGTGTCCGGGCTATAAATTTTTTCTACCTTTTAACACAATCTGACTATATACATGTATGTGAATATCCTCCCACCACAATATTGGCATAAGGCAATGTGTTGTGCTGATAGTGTAGTAACCAGAAGTTCCGTGGGAAGATCTCTTTTTTCTGATATATGAATGGAACAGAGGAATTAATTATGGAGTTTACGTTATGTCGAGAGTTAATTTTGGTTAATCTCGTACAGAGATGGGTGAAACACCAGTTCCAGAGTCAGTTTTGAAGAAGCAGAAGAGGAGCGAGGAATGGGCTCTTGCAAAGAAGCAAGAACTTGAATCTGCAAAGAAGAAGAATGCTGAGAACAGGAAATTGATCTACAACAGGGCAAAGCTGTATGCAAAGGAGTATGCAGAACAGGTACTATCAAACTCCGTATTTTTTGGTTAACATGCTCGTTTGATGTTAAGCTTGGTTATAAGTATTCATTTTTCTTTTCTTAGGACAAGGAATTGATCCGTTTGAAACGTGAGGCTAGATTGAAAGGTGGTTTCTATGTGGATCCTGAGGCAAAGTTGTTGTTTATCATCAGAATACGCGGGTAAGAACTATTTTGGTCTTCTTTGTCCTATAGTATGGTGAAACTATTAATACTATGGTACTCATAAAATTTGATCTTTCAGTATTAACGCTATGCCCCCACAGACCAAAAAGATTTTGCAGCTACTACGTTTGCGCCAGGTAAACACAACTCCTTTCTATACCCCTCAAAGAAGACAAGTATAATTTGATGTTTGCTGCTGTATAAGCTACTCTTGATTTCCTTCTATTGTTCTGTTTGCTGAAAATTCGCTTTGAGTATGTGTTGGGGGGGTGTTATTGCTTCCCCACTTGATAGTTAAGTACATGTGTATATCCTGATGATTGGGCTGGCTTGTTACGCCAAATGTCCTATCATCAGGCAAGTTATTGTGTTGTTGTCAAGATAATTTATAATTCTTATGTTTATTCTTCTGATTCCTCTCCCCTGTTGGAAACAAAAAAAAAAATATTTCTAGGTTTCTGTATGTGTCTGTTTTGGTTAGGTCTGTTTCATGCTTTATGTAATTCCTTAAAATTGAGTTATTTTATTGTTACCTAACATTGAGCTCTTCTTCCTTTCCACATTTCTTGTGACAGATCTTTAATGGTGTCTTTTTGAAAGTCAACAAGGCCACAGTGAACATGTTGCATAGGGTTGAACCTTACGTTACCTATGGGTAGGTATCGCTTAATGTTCTGCTGCCCTCAAGTCTTCCTCTCTGCTGCTATTGCAAACTTGCAGTCCCTTATTTCCTTTGTATCTTGCAGTTACCCAAACCTAAAGAGTGTTAGGGAATTGATCTACAAAAGAGGTTACGGAAAACTTGACAAGCAGAGAATTCCTTTAACCGACAACTCTGTCATTGAGCAGGTAAGTTTCTGTCAGTTCATCTCCGGATTTAGTGTTTCATGGTGTTGACAACTCAAGAGTTCTCGGTGTATGTTTTCAGGGATTGGGCAAACATGGAATTATCTGTGCTGAAGACCTTGTCCACGAGATCATGACTGTCGGGCCCAGCTTCAAGCAGGCCAACAACTTCCTATGGCCATTCCAGCTGAAGGCACCTTTGGGTGGACTCAAGAAGAAGAGAAATCACTACGTTGAAGGTGGAGATGCTGGTAACCGCGAGAACTTCATTAACGAACTTATCAGGAGGATGAACTAGAGTGCCTGAAATTTTGTTTTCTAGGCATTTTTAGTGATCAACAGTTCAGAATTTCTTCCATTTGAGATGTTATTTTGCTTTATGATAGTATACGACATTATTTTTGTTTTGATAGCCCCAGTCTCTATCGTATTGTGTTGGATTTTTGAATTTATGTTCATTTCGGTTTCAAAGATATCTAAGTTCTTTTTTTCTTCTTTTGAATGTCTGAATGTGCCAAATTTTTGGTGCATTACTCCTGTTTAATTACACAATCACATGAAGTAGCTTTTTCTTAATGTCTACAGTAGATCGATCAACACTTTGTGGCATAAATTCATTTTAAACCTGCTGGTCATAGTATTGTAAACAAACATAGTTCCGGACGTCCGTCAAGACCCTAGGCTATGCATTCGATTGGCCTTCACGGCTAGTCCGACCCATTTTTAAGGTCTAACGAGCTCCGAAGCGAGCATACCCTCCATTTCGACCATTTTTCTTTTTGTATAGCAAATCATTTTTTGGGTGATCCGAATTTTGACATTAAAAATTCCAATTTTTTTTGTGGACGTACGTCAAGACCTTGGTTATGCAGCCAGTTGGCCATCACTTCCACTCCGAACCATTTTCAAGGTCAAACGAGCCCCAAAGCGCGCATACCCCTATTTCGACGATTTTCGAGTGCTATAACAAACAATTTTTTGGGTGATTTGGATTCCGACTTAAAAAATGTAAAATTTTTTTATGAAGGTCCTTCAAGACCTTGGTTGTGCCTGTTGGCCATCACGGCCAGTCCGACACATTTTCGAGGCCAAACGAGCTCTGAAGCGCTCATACCCCCAATTTAGACAATTTTCGTGTGCTATAGCAAACCATTTTTTGGGTCATCCGGATGTCAAAAATTTTTGTGGACGTCCGTCAAGACCTTGTCTATGCAGCCAGTTGGCCATCACGGCCAGTCCGACCCATTTTGAAGGTCAAACGAGCCCCAAAGCGCGCATACCCATATTTCGACGATTTTCGTGTGCAATAGCAAACCATTTTTTGGGTGATTCGGATTCCGACGTCAAAAATCTCAAAAGTTTTTGTGGAGGTCCTTCAATTGGCAGTGCAGCCGGTTGGCCATCACGGCCAGTCCGACCCATTTTCAAGGTCAAACGAGCCCTGAAGCGCGCATACCCCCATTTTCGACGATTTTCGTGTGCTATAGCAAATAATTTTTTGGGTGATCCGAATTCTGACGTCAAAAATGTTAAACTTTTTTGTGGATGTCCGTCAAAACCTTGACTATGCAACCGGTTGGCACTCACGACCAGTCCGACCCATTTTGAAGGTCAAACGAGCCCCGAAGCGCGCTTACCCCTCATTTCGACGATTTTCGTGTGCTATAGCAAACAAATATTTGGGTGATTCGGATTCTGATGTCAAAAATGCCAAAACTTTTTGTGGATGTCCGCCAAGACCTTGGCTATGCATCTGGTTGGCTTTCAAGGCCATTCCGACCCATTTTAAAGGTCAAAAAAGCCCCGAAGCGCGCATACCCCCATCTCGACGATTTTCGTGTGCTATAGCAAATCATATTTTGGGTTATCCTAATTCCGATGTCAAAAACGCCAAAAATTTTTGTGGACGTCCGCCAGTCCGACCCATTTTGAAGGTCAAACGAGCCCCGAAGCTATTGATTTTTGGTGATCCGGTATATCCACGTCTTTTTACCCAAATCTTTTATGGACCCTAGTTAAAACATTATCTGGATATTGTTGGCCCTGACGGACAAAGCAAACCATTCTGAAGGTCAAACAAGTCTCGGAGTAGGTTAACCATCCACAATCTTTTTTGGTGATCAAGAATTTCGACGTCACCTTTTTTACCCAAATTATTTCGGATGTCCGCTAAGACGTTATCTATGGAGCTAGATTACCCTGACGGCCAAAACATCCTATTTTGAAGGTCAAGTGATGCCCAAGCATGTAAACCTCCTATTCTATCGATTTTTGTGTGCTTAGTCCATGGATTTTTGGTGATCCAAAATTCTGACTTTTTTTTGCCCAAATTTTTCGTGGACCTCCGTTTAGACGTTAGCTATGGAATCAGTTGGTCATGACGGCCAAAACAAACCATTTTGAAGGTCAAACGAGCCCCGAAGCAAGTATACATTTGTCCGATTTTCGTAGGTTATGGTCCATGAATTTTTTGTGATATAGAATTCTAACGTATTTTTTCACCCTAAATTTTCATAGATATCCATTAAGACATTATATATGAAGTCAGTTGGCCCTGACTCAAATGAGCCCCAGAGCAGGTAAACCCCTAATTTGATCAATTTTCGTGTGGTATAATCCATGATCTTTTTGGTGATCCAGAATTCTGACGTCTTTTTTGCTCAAATTTTTTGTGGACATTCGTTAATACATTAACTGGAGCCAGCTGGTCCTGACGGTCAAAACGATCTATTTTGAAGGTCAAACGAGCCCCGAAGCAGGTAAACCCCCCATTTTACCAATTTTCGTGTGCTATAATCCATGAATTTTTAGTGATCCAGAATCACGATGTCTTTTTAGATCGAATTGTTTGTGGACCTCGTTAGGATGTTAACTATGGATCCAGTTGGCCTTGACGGCCAAAACTATCAATTTTGAAGGCTAAACGAGCCTCGAAGTAGGTATACCCGATTTTATCGATTTTTGTGTGCTATAGTCCATGAATATTTGGTGATTCAGAATTTTGACTGCTTTTTTGACCTAATTTTTCATGGACGTCCGTTAAAACGTTAGCACCCTAACAACCAAAACAAATCATTTTGAAAGTCAAACGAGCCCCAGAGAAGGTAAATCTCTCATTTTTTTGATTTTTATGTGCTTTAGTCCATTATCTTTATTGGCAACTTCTTTTTTGTCCAAATTTTTTGTGGACATCCGTTAAGACATTAGCTATGGAGCCAGTTGCCCTTGTTGGTCAAAATGACCCATTTTGAAGGTCAAACGAGCCTCAAAGCAGGTAAACACCCATTTTACATTTTTCGTATGTTATAGTCCATTGATTTTTGGTGATTCAGAATTGTGACATCTTTTTAGCCCAAATTTTTTGTGGACCTCTGTTAAGACATTAGTTATGGAGCTAATTGGCCATAATGGTCAAAACGGCCCATTTTGAAGGTCAAACGACCCCGAAGCAGGTATCCCATTTGCCAATTCTCGTGTGCTATCTATGGATTTTTAGTTATCCAAAATTTTGAAGTCTGTTTTGCCTGAATTTTCCGTTGACGTCCATTAAGACGTTATTTATTGAGCGAGTTGACCTCGATGACCAAAACGAGCCTAATTTCTATAAGTTGGGGTGTAACGAGAAACTTTTACAGGTTCAGGTGAAAATATGTATTACAAACCTTTTCGTTCGTATAAAATTATTCGTTATTTGGTACATCATAAGATGAGGATAATTAATTCTAATGTAAAATTTATGATTAATTTTATTTCACGTTTTGTTTGACGTATTATTTTGGAAAAAATTACAAATATACCTTCGAATTATCATATATGGTATGTTGATACTCTATGTCATACTTTTGGGTCATTGATGCCCCTACTGTCTAAAATCTAGTGCGTATATGTCTTCACTCTAACGGAAGACTAAATAATGACACGGTGCGCAATCTTGATGGATCTGATGGCAGGTCGGTGGATAAGATTATGACACGTGTATATTCATTAGTATAAAAGGTATATTGCTCTAGTTTTTGGACGGCAAGGACACCAATGCCCCAAAAATATGACGAAAGATATTTGTATACCATTTACGATAGTTTAGATATATTTGTCATTTTTTCGTTTTATTAACTAAAGATATGGTGAATTAAAACACATCACAATAGAACAAGGGGTTCATTTGTAACTTAAGTGATAACTATAAGGACTTCATTGAGATTTTCTCTTCGTTGCAACAGAGAGCGGCGGCCGGCGGTGAAGTTTTGCTGGTAAGATTTCTCTTTTCTTCTTTTATCATAAAGAATCAATGGAATTGCTATTTAATTCAGAAAATGATGTTATTTTTAAAATATAAATAAAAATGACGAGACCAAATTAATATGTAAATATGGAGTTTGCAAATTCTTGTTCTTAAGATTGTTTCATATTCAGGTAGGAATGTTCTTAAGGAATTGAATTTGAAGGGTCTAATTAGTTTTTAGGGAGGTAGGATTTCTCCGTATATATACTGGGTCAGAGGCGGATTCAGGATTTGAAGTTTTCGTTATTGTATATCAGTTTGAGCAAAAGCTATTGGGCTCCCGTGAACCTTTATAGCACTCTGTATGTATTCTAGCTAAATGAAGATGCAAGAATGGTGCTTTCTTGATTTAGCATGAAGTTTGAGGTGATTTCTCAGATTGTCACTCGACTAATAGTTGTTATCTTACAAAGTTACTATCTTTGTTGAAAAAAAAAATTGGAATCAAGAAGAAGGGTGAATTATTTACCTTTCTGAGATGATAAATATTAGTTGAGCGTGTAAGAAATCAACCCCGTGAAATTTTTAAGCTTAAGATGTAGATTAGTTCTCGTTTCGTGGTGAATATTGGTGAGCTTGCTAAGTAGTAGAGAGATAGTTGTAGTGATGTGATACAAGGTTATGCTTCGTTGTTCGACTATCAAGGATCTATGTTTGTCTGATACATGAGTAACTTCTATGTGGTGAGGTAAAGCCCCAAAATTTCTGGTTGTAGGTATTGATTATAGTAAAACACATGGGATTGCCGAGATTTAAACGTCCTGTAGGGACTAGCGAACCAAGTTCAAATCTTTATGTGGCCAATTGTGGACCTGCAGTTGGACTAACTTTGGACACAATTGAAGCCGTATTTGGTGCATATGGTCAAGTTAAGGGAGTCCATCTCGCTGATGAAAGTGGCACTAGAGTTATTGTGTCTTATCATGAAGAAAAGTCTGCAGAATCTGCCCTGACGGCGTTGAATAGACGAGCATGTCCTGAGCTTGGTGGCCGGTCTTTGCACATTCAGTATTCAGTACCTTCTGTTTGTCAGGTAAATTATCTTTATCCACAGTAAAGTCTTGATCTTTTTGCCAGTCTTGTAATTTTCATGAGATTGTTTACCGTGCTTTTCTTTTGAGCATGTTGATTCAATTATTATTTTGAATGTACTGTACAGTGGAATTAGAAAGTCAGCTTTAAAGCATGATATAACATAACTGATTGCATAGAGCTTCTGAGGGACCTTCACCATTCTTCCTTTCGCTTAACATGTTTGCATTTCTTGCTAGTCATTGCTAAATGAAAATCGAATTTATGAAGGATGATTTAGTCATATAGGAAACAATGCACTCATGCTTGACGTAAGCACCCGTTTTCATGAATTAACGTTTGTGTTCTTATATCAATTTCGGCCATGCTATTTAGGAACTGGTCAGTGTGTGTGTGAACTGTGGGTATTAAGTGGAAATTGTATCAGTTTAGCATAGAGATTACCGATTTCTTTTGTCTTTACTCCCTTGAGTAACTTCTATTGATTGCTTGTATATGTTTATTTTCTTTATGAGCTTGCTTTCTGGTTCAGGTTGCAGTGGATGACTCAATTGAGGTGTCGATGGAATCTTCAGAGTTAGATATTCCTGGTCTTTACTTGATTCATGACTTCATCAGTGTCAAAGAGGAGGAGGTCAGGGATCTCATTTTGCGGGAAAATACTATAGGCACTTACACTGTTCTTATATTTTCTCGATTTTTCCGCAAAATTTATTTGAAAAGTTCCACCCTAGTCTGACTCAGTTTTCTTGAATCTTTAGGAACTACTTGCAGCAGTTGATTCAAGGCCTTGGCAAAGACTTGCTAAAAGAAGGGTGCAGCATTATGGTTATGAGTTCCACTATAATGTAAGTGCACATAGTGGGTATTAGGAACTATGGAAATGCAAGTAATTATACTGGCATATAGCAGAAGCATGTTATTTTTTGCCGTTAGATATATGTATAAGAAGAATTAGTTTCTTTGCTCTTTTTTACATCTGTGACCTGTTTTATTAGAAAATCTAACGGAATCTTCTACAAACAATCCTACCCCACCCCGGTCAAATGAACAAATTATATCAAATATGGGAGAAGAAAAGAGTAAGATGGTTTTAATTGAACTTTCTTGATTTCCCTTGTTTGTGTCCTTTGATTTTGTAACGAAGGACTACACAAGTACACACTCTTGTTCACAGAACTCGTGGTAGTGAAAGAGGTAAGGGTAGCATATTGGGTTAGAGGGAATTAGCATTTCCAAAACCAGTAAATCAGTAAAGCGGGGGATGTGCGGTTGGCACACATTATGAGCTTGAATCCTAGTGCGGAAGAGGGTAGGACCCATTATCTACGGACTTCAGAAGTTGGAAACAATGGACTTCTCGGTTTTGAAAAGATATATCAGTAAATCATACAAAACACCAATGACCATCAAGGACAACTGAACCCCAATTTTGGTTTGATTAAAAATGTTCGAGAACTTCTAATTGCCACCTAATGGCCTTATTAGACTCACTTCTGAGCTATCAACAATACCATTCCCGTTCTTGTTTTTTAAATCCCTTGACAATTCAGAACTGCTCGAAAAGTCCATTTGCAGATGTTTGAAACTCTTGAATTTTCTGCTAAAAGCTGCTGATGTCTCTTATATTTGCTTATTTCTGTATATTATTAATCTTTCAAATGCTAGTAAGCTTTAAGATCTAAAATGCACTTATTGAATTCTCTCTCTATTGGCCACTGCAGACGAGGAATGTCAACACAAATCAGTACTTGGGTGAACTTCCATCATTTCTTTCGCCAATACTTGACAAGATGTCAATGTTTCAAAAGCTTGGTTACACTGAAACCGTAGTTATGGACCAGCTCACGGTTAGTTAATTTCACATCTTATATTTCTTCATTTATGAGCTGTTCCTCCATGACTTGTCTAGTTTTATGCTGGGGAAGGGAACTAGCTCTTGTTTGACTTGCAATATCGTAAGGATTTTCATTTTCAGTGATAGCTTTAGTTTTCAAATGTTTTGTCTGTCATGGACTTCTGTTGTTAAACTTTATGAAATGTGTTATAATCTTTAACAGGTTAATGAATATCCACCCGGAGTGGGATTGTCTCCACATATTGACACCCATTCAGCATTTGAAGGATTAATATTCAGCCTTTCATTGGCAGGGCCTTGCATCATGGAGTTCAGAAAGTATTCTACTAGTGTTTGGCCTACAGACCCCAACACATTGAGTGATGAAGAGGCTCAAAATTCCGATAAGAGCTCAAAGTTTTTGAGGAGAGCTATTTATCTACCCCCTCGATCTATACTGTTGTTATCACGAGAAGCACGCTATGCTTGGCATCATTACATTCCACACCATAAGGTAACTCCTGCTGCCAATGCTTATTCTTTACTCTAAACATCTAACTATTATGACTCAAAACTTGGCCTCATTTACTTGTGCACCTAGTAACTGGGAGCTCATTGACATCAAATTTCCCCTACAAGAAAGTTTTTGCTATCCTGCAAAACTTGAAAATTTTGGGGAACATCAAAAAAAAGTTTTAACTTTGCACCAACACCAAGTATTCATCAACACGTGATACTTTTTTCTTAATTCTCCGAAAACAAAAAAAAATATTTTGGATTATCGGGAGAATAATGGTTTAAGTGGGACATAACAAGTGTTTTGATGTTAATCCGGGTATGTAACTGAGGATTTGGTGTCATTATTGGAGATGCCAGTGTCAATCTTATTGGTAGAATGTGGCACTACGGTCTTGGCTCCCTTTGGTAATTTTATTGCGTCATTGCTTCAACCTATGAACCTTCCAATCTGTTTCATTTTTGTTCCCTTTTGAGCTTCAGATTCCATGTTCAATATATGTGCATGATTGATCAAGTTTTGCTTCTCCTTCTATCTTTTCTAGCACATCTGCATTTCAAAAATTCTGCAACTATAATGACAGTCTCGGTAAGTGATATTCCTTTGATTTTTCCAAACTTGCGCGTTGCAGATTGATGTAGTGAACGACACCAAAATCAGAAGGGCTTCAAGGAGAGTGTCCTTTACATTGCGCAAGGTATGTGGATTAGTTCTGACTTCAATTATCTCGATTTTGGGAACTGCAAACTAGTTCTTTGGATAGTAATAATAGCTCTCATACATTACCTTCTTGATGGGGACGGGACATTCAGTTTTACCTTCCCAGAATGTAGTTGAATGTTCTGTACAACATGTACAAGAGTGAATAATGGTAATATAGCAACGATAGCTATGCCTCAATCCCAAACAAGTTGGGGCCGGTTACAATATGGTAATACACATAAATCGTGGGAAAAAGTAGCTCGTATAAGTTTCAAGAAAAGTACCATATCTCGAAAATACGTGAACTATTAGTGAGTGCTTCATTTGTTATCTTCATCTATATATTTGTTAGTTTTTAAGCCATCTCCCCTTGTTATGAAGATCTTTTCCCTTCTTGATGCAGGTAAGAAAAGGACCATGTGAATGCGAGTTCCCCGAATACTGTGATTCTCAGAAGTGCTAGACAATTATACACTGATTACACTTTGCCAGAAACCAGAAGATTTGATCATTGCTTATTTCATTCCGCGTGGTTATCTTCTGTCTGAACCGGTTTCTGGTGAATTTAAACAACCAGGTCGAGGTTGAGGTTGAGGTCGAGGTCGAGAATTTCTATATAAAGCTGAGAGGTTCATTGTGTTTTTAGCTGAACTCTATATTCAAGTTGCATTGAGTAAGTGTCAAATTTTCTTGTTTCCTTTTCTGTTTACTGGTCTATTGCAGCAGAAATCCAGGAAATATTTTTTTTCCGTTTGATTTTACATAGTTTAAAGATATTTTGGACTATTTTCCGTTCCGTTAAGTAGAAGAAACAAATATACCTTTAGACTTTAGTTACCTTCTAGCTAGTTTTTCATAGTATTACACCTTTGTTTGGATTTTCGTTACTCGTTGTATTGTATTGTATTGTTAGTTCAAATACAATATATTTATTTTGATTATTACTTAAATTCCATCGCATTGTATTGTTGAAATCTATCGTTAGGCAACGACGAAAAGATCCATTTTATGTAACCGTCGATTTGGTGTGATCGCGTGGTTAGCTAGTATTTTCTTCTCATTTTGTTTTTTATTATTTTATTTTTTACCCTACTTTTTCATAGTAGCTCTTTTTCATATCTTTTTTTTTTCCTGATAGATTTAACGTTTAAATTATGAGTACGTAATATTATGAAATAACAAAGAACGATATAATCTATTCAAATACCGCATTCATTAAAATACTGTAATATGATACAAATACGATACATTTTTGATACATTTTGAAACAAAGTGTAACAGGATGATAATTTAATGTAAATTATAACAAAAACTTAACATGAGACTTTAATTTTGGAGATTTATTTTCATTTGCTTACTTACTCAATACTCCATTCTTAATTAATTGTATGAATTAATTACATAAAAGTCAATGGTAATCCATGCAATTTTAACGTTCTCCGCCAAATAAGTCCAATTAATTGATTAAAATGATATAATATTTGACTAAGTACCATATTATAGTAGAGTAGGAAGCCACAAATTAAATTAAATAAAATGACTATAATACCCTTTAACATAATATTATGTCAAATATATTAGACATAACCAATTTATTACAATTTTTCGAATTGATTTTACACTGCATAGATTGATTGAACGCAAAAAATCTTTTATTTACAAGCAATCATGTTTTTTTCAATCCAAATTCTTAAAGAAAGAAGACATCCATCCATATTTATTATTTTATTAAAAAAAAAAAGTAAGACAAATTATATCAATTAAATTTAACAAAAATATTTTTGTTCATCCTAGATTTTTCCCAAGTCAAAATTTATATTGCTTATAAACATTTCTAAGTGTTTACTATATGCGTCGATTTTTTGAGTCTTAAAAAAATAAATAGATAAAGACAATTTGACTAGCTTATATTTTAAGTCATACATCTTATTCTAATATAATTTATATCACCTTGATATTTTTTAATTAATCAGTATGAAATACATATGATCGAGATACTAGTCAACTTAGAAAATTAAACACAATTCCTTGGAAACAAGTATTAATATGGATAATTCTTAGACTACATTTTGCACTAAACTCTCCTTTTCTCTCTTATTTTTTTTCACCATATTTTCTTTGTTAATTCTTATTTTTTTTTCTTGCATTTTTTAACTTATTTGAAAATATGGGAAGCCAAACAAATTATTTAGGTGAAAATTATACAAAAGAGTTGGAAACACCTACAAATATAACTATCAAAAAGATTCTTGGCTTGTTGATGGGCATCATAGATGGAGGTAATGTTTAAAAATTGTATTTAAATATAAATCATAAATATTTTTTCTTATATTATAAATGAAAAAATTGTCTCTAAGTTTGATATATAGGTTAATTAATAATTTTTCTTATATTATAAATGAAAAATTGTGTCTCTAAGTTTGATATATAGGTTAAGTTTTTATTACGTAGTGTTGCTTTTGTTTCAATTGTTTGTCTTATAGATTGATTAAAAATATGTATAACGCATCAAAATATTTTTTTAGATCGTATGATTTTGAAACAAGTTACATGTCAGGAATTTATAGTATTACTATTAAATATAGAAATGAATATTTTTTTTTAGACAGATTAAAAAAAAGTTAAAGCATATGAACTGAGACAGTCGAAGTATGTATATATTTATTGTATATTGAATTATTTTGATTTTTTTTTTAAAAAAAAAATTGATTCCGTCACTGATTTTCGTACAGATGATGAAAGGAAGAGGGAAGTGATCTCATTGGGAATAGGAGATCCAACAGCTCATTCATGTTTTCACACAACAAATGAAGCTAAGGAAGCTGTTGTTGAGAGTCTTCTTATTGATAAATTTAATGGATATTCTCCCTCTGCTGGTCTTCCAACTACTAGAAAGTAAAAAAAAAAATCATATATAATTCATATTTTATAATTTATGGTTTTTACTATTAGGGTGTGTTTGGTTCGAAGATAAATATGTTTTCATGAGATAGAATATTTTTACGGAAAAAAAGGTTAGTAAGAAAATATTGTCCTAAGAGCATTTAGGTATAATCTGGATAAATATTATGATATTGATACAATCACTACTCCCAACCAAAAACGAGACCTGACACTGTAACTCCCAATCTCGATACTCGACCCTGACTTGAGACCCAATTCCCGATCCTAACACTTGATCCCGACTTGAGATCCGACTATCGATCCGAGACCCGGCTTTCAATCTAATATCCAACTCAACCCTAGCTTGAGAAATGTCGATTCGAAATCTGACTCTCGATATCCCAACTCAGGATCAATCTCTCAACCTCGATAACCGACCTCGGACCCTATCATGAGTTGATCTTGGGTCGAGGTTAGGAGTTGCAATTCGGGTCATCAAAATTCGGATGTTGAGGTTGAGACAGAGTTTTGAAAAATATTTTTCTTACTTTACGCAAGGAGGTTATTTTTCGTAAATTTGAGGAAAACAAGTCTATTAGGAAAAAAAGTATTTTTACTAACATTTAAGCCAACCAAACATGAGAACTAATACATGTTTATTAAAGAATTTAAGTTACATATATACTGAAAAACACCACAAACATATCACGTCATGTCACGTCATGTCATTGTATATATTAATTTATATTTTGTATATACTAAAGTTTTTCTCCCCTATATATTAACAGGGCAATTGCAAGCTACTTATCAAGGGATCTTTGTTATGAATTATCACAAGAAGATGTGTACATTACTGTTGGTTGCACACAAGCTATAGAAATGGCATTGTCTTTTCTTGCAAAACCTAATTCTAACATTTTGTTACCAAGGCCTGGCTTCCCAACTTATGCACTTTGTGCTTCTTTTAGAAATATTGAAGTTAGGTACTATGATCTTCTACCTCAAAACAATTGGCAACTTAATTTGGAGGCAATTGAAGATTTGGTTGATCAAAATACTATTGCAATTGTTATTATAAATCCTGGAAATCCTTGTGGAAATGTCTACTCCTATGACCATTTAAAGAAGGTACACGACTCGTTTTAATTAAGCATCTGAACATATGATATATAAAGAGTTTTTGTTAGTTTTGGAAAAACTTTTGCAAGTGTCTATTTAGTAGTTAATTCACATAAACTACGTCATCTCCTTAATTAAAATTTGATTCATTTTGTTTAGGCATAATGTATAAAAATGTCCTTTTAACTTGACCTGAACTGACATTTATGTTCTTCAACTTTGGGTTAACACAAAAATGTACTTAAACTTGTATATAATTGAACAATTCCATTGCATCTTACGTCTAATATGCCGCATAAGACGTGTGTGTCTAGTGCTTGTTCAATTTTATACACGTTTAAATGTCTATGTGTACACATCCAGATTTGGAAGACATAAATATCAGAGTTGAATAATGACATGTTTATATATTATGTCTGTTGTTTATGATTAGATAGCAGAAACTGCAAAGAAAGTGAAGACATTGATCATAGCAGATGAAGTTTATGGACATCTTGCTTTTGGAGAAACCCCTTTTACACCAATGGGATTATTTAGTTCAATAACACCAATATTAACACTTGGTTCTTTGTCAAAAAGATGGTTAATTCCTGGTTGGAGACTTGGTTGGTTTGTCATTAATGATCCTAATTGCATTTTCAAATCCCCTAAGGTATGTTTCTAAATTAATTAGTGAAATTTTGTTGCTTATTTAGAGGCGGTGCTAAAAAAATTATGTATTTATTTGTTTGCGCTTCCCTGAGTAACGTTAATCCAAACTTGTGTTTGTCTTAAGAAATTCATCTATTTTACATCTCGAATGAATAAATAGGTGTGGGGTGGCAGGGAGACTACGAGCCCTCTCTCGACTCTCCTTAGTTGTTATCGGATTGACCACCACAAATCTCTTCATTCCTCTTCGCCATGCTCGGTGAAATTATATTTTTAGAGCGAAATAAAGTGACAAGGAAACGAGGAATCCTATTCATGAAAGCTCCTTGTTAAGATTGAGGGGGAAATTCAAAGGATATTCTTTTCATAAAAATTAAAAAAGAATACAAAAAGTTTTTTCAATTAAAACGTTATTTAATTATTAATATGTATAAGTTATTTATTTAAAATTCAATAACTTAAAACGATTAAAATCTTAAATATTTGAGTGACAAATTAAAGACAAATTTATCATAGTTAATTCATGTTTTATATATTGCTGTACTTATTTATATGTGATACTAATTATCACAAGTTTTTTTTTTTCATTTCTCAGATAATTGAACGTATTAATAACTATTGTGACTTATGTGCAAGTCCCACAACTTTCATACAGGTAAATCGTAGTCTATATATCGTCAGTATAAATAATATTTTTATACGACATCAATTCATTCAAGTGATATATATAAATAAGTCTCTTTACCATATAAAATTTGAACTATTGAACACATATAAGATATGTTATAAGCTACAACAAGTATGGATAACTTGATGGTGTAAAATTATTTATTCCGATAATATATATATATATATTACGTAAACTCATAAAAAAAATCTACGTTTCAGAGTTTCAAAATTCACAACTCTTGAATTTTGAACGCTAGCTAGAACAATAACTAATTTTCAAATATAAGATAAAAAGTAGACATATGACATTATTAATTTCTATCTATCATATCCAAAACACGTTGTATCGATTGTAATAGATAACCTATATTATATAGATTAAACGTTAAACTATATTGACAGTGTATATAATTTATTTTTATTTTTATTTTTGTAAAAATTATTTTGATTTTGCAGGCAGCAGTCCCCAAAATTATTGAAAATACCAAAGAGGATTTCTTCAAAAATACACTCAAAATGTTAAAGAAAAATTCAGATATATGTTATGAAAAGATACTTGAAATTCCATGCCTAAATTGCCCTTACAAACCTCAAGGTTCAATGGTTGTTATGGTAAATTCTTTAACTT